ACGCGATATCATTGATTATTCTCCGCGAGATTAGTATTGATTAGAGATGCTCCTAATTGAAGATACTCGAAAAATAGTCAGTTTTAGGTAAAAATAGTCTTTTTACCTAACAAGAACAAACTGTTCTGAAACGGAAGTTGAAAAGCGTCTGAAAGATAAGATCAACGAAGCATTCAATTTCCGTTCGCGCTCCCAGGCCTCAGTTGCTAGCAACGAACCCCACAAAAGAAAAATGTTCAGTCAAACTGCGGATTGCTACCCACACCTAGAGGCATACTATATGCCGAGAAAATGTCAGCATCCGGAATCGGAAAAGCAAGGCAAGTGTCGGGGGCTAACAGGAGGCAGCCACTGGTACTACTACATTGTGAATCAGTCAGATGCGACCAGCACCTCACTGACTGGAAGAGCAAACAGCCCAACACCGTCCCAGTAGACCTATCGTGTGAAACCTCACTCATTTACGTGAAAAAAACATGATAACGACTGACTGACCGACGATCTTTGACTTCGATTCGTCACCAACGTGTCGGCAGAATGAACTGGACCAGCACGACATAAGCCGAAACATTTGAACAAAAAAGGCGGACAGTGAAACATTAAGATCCAGCGACTTCAACTTCGACGGCTTATAAAACATTTCCTATGCACACTACTGTCACGTTTCAACCAGATGTGTTCTATTTGCTTGAAGTTGACGGAACGGCCTGGGTCTGTAACGTGATAAACTCGAAGAAACGCCCCTGCTGGCGGCTAATCTCGTGTGTGATTGAATAAACATGGAAAAAAGGAGGTTCGCAGCCGCAGTTACTGTTACATGTGCCATGATTTGTGTAACTACTAGCCGGACCCATTTATTCCAAATGTAATGGTGCTGATCGTAACAAATTCGTTACCGGCACCTTAAAGAAATCAACTATAAAACATTCATCGAACAAAGGGACTGCATATTATCTAAGGGATAATATGATCCGTGAGCCATGTTCAACAATACTGTTTGCTGATAGTGCACTACTACTACTACTCACTGAGATAGAAGGAGAATAGCATGAACTGGTTTCGAAATTCATCGTACGATCGCGAGTGGGGCCTGAAAACAAGGAGAAGAAATAGGCAATGCACATGAAACAGAACAAACATTCTGTTTTGTTTATTTTTTTTCGTTGGAAATCATACACAAAGTTGTCAGTTATTACGCTTGCCACACAAAATATCGTAGTGCTTAGAGTCGCAGAGAGAGAGAGAGAACATGACAACCTGTTGATTGGCCACTACCCTCTTATGTCTAATCAATGACATGCATACAATTGTTTTCTTCAATAAAAAGGCAAATTATCACGAGAATTAAAAGTGTCAGACCGAGGTGGAAATTGTCCGAGGGGTTACGAAACGAGTTCAGACGACTTCAGCGAGCAGCTCTTTCTCCTTTCTTGTTCTCCAACAATATTAGTAATCTATCCGTAAATGCATCAGCTCAATTGTTCGCGGATGTTGTCTTAGACCGTACTTTTTCCAGATTTCCGAATAAGCTTTCCCAAGTGTAAGGCCTTATTCTTTGACTTCGGGCATAGTTTGCACTCAATCAACTACAGTGAATACATTTTCTTTTTCTCATATTCGTTTTCATTCGAATTTCGACGGTCAACTCACACTTATTGCTCACAGTTAGTTTACTTGGAATTTCCCTGAAGTCACCGGACTGGACTAGTCTTCATTTCTTCCAGCCGGTGTTTATTCTTTCACAGTATCGACACTTTGCATCTTTTTTTAATTCATTATTCTAATTTTGCCGGTCTTGGGAAGAAACACTTCAAAGTTACAATGCGGATCATCCATTACTAACTGTATACCGTAATTGTTTGAAATTAGAAATCAAAATTTCTCCACGTATATTAGTGAGTTTGCACGATCCATTGATACTCCCAAGGATATCGATTTTATTTACACTTAGACGACTAGCTCCTGTACGAGGATCAATGGGACCCATGCTATATATATAATCCATCGGGGATTTTGAGAATGCAGTGGTATTACCTGTATCACTTGGAATTCTTTTTCTTCTGGCGCAACACAATCAAATGCTGTGTGTTGTAGGGCAACAGAATAATTACTAATGATTTTCCAAAGTGACGGAGTAGAATCATCTACGTCGGGATGCTTTCTGTGAACACTGGTGGCCCGTTTCGGCAAAGAGAGAGGTTGTTGGCACGGCTTAAGTCCTCCGATCCTTTGATAATACTAGTGCTGCTGATCAGGAGTGCGACCGTTGATGCAATGAAACAGTGTCTACATAATCACGATTAACTCGGATTCTGAACACACCGCAAAGTTGTGGCAAGTAAATGAAAACAGAAAATTAGGGCTTGTTTGTTTCGTAACAGATCTATCTGCACGAGAAGATTGGATATCAGGCAAATAGCCATAATCCTCAGACAACGATTTGAAACCAAATGGTGACCAAACAAACTACTTGGGGTACATATTCCAAAAAAACAAGGCGTGTCCCAAGAGATTATGTAGGCGATTTTAAGAGTGACAGGATTTTCACTTTACATCCCGGCATCACGAAGCACTACTTCAGTTTCCATCCGGACAAAATTAAGTGCCTATTCAATCAAACGTCTCAACATCTTGTTATTTTTTACGTGGTTCACTCTTTTCTAACATGGATTGTAAAGTTCTTTTTCTAAAACTTCTTTAATTTTCAGAATGAAAAACGGTAGCGAGACCCAAAAGATAAAAGCTGTGAACAGTATTCGGACTCAGATAGCTGGTCCGACGTTCCGGATTGGTCAACAATAACGAACAATTCCGAACGCACCGGAGGCAAGAGAATGACCGAATTTCAGACATGTTCACGTTTCTTTGCTGTCTTGCTCTATTGTCCTTGTGTTCTTCCTTCGACCCGGGTGTTTGAGGTACTATAGTTTTCAGACTACAACAATAATCTAAAGGATTGTGTGATTTAGAGATTAACTCCTTTGGTAAAATATGGAGATGGCATTCATAACGAGGAGAACGCATGTATATTCGTGATACCAACGCGCCAGCCAACACTATTTAGATGAAGCAGACAAATAAATACGCGTTCACCTACACGCCCACAAGCCTTCCGAAGTTTCAGTATGGTTGGGGGTAGGTGCTTCGAGCTATAGATGACCACCGTTTGCTTACACCTCGCAAAATGCTCCTACACGACCAAGCGTTTCAAACAGCCCTTGCTGGGGAAGCCTTGATTACTGTGTTCCAGTGGTGGAGGTATTTTCCCACCAAAGTGAGAGGACAAAACGCTAACATCAGGGTCAATACCCAAACCGATGAGCCAACGGCAGACCACCTAGAAGCGTTGGCTAAATACCCCAACTGTACACCAATCAAGAAGAGGCGTACGGACCACGCATACATATACATTCCTGATTAACGTAGAGTTCACCGACCGGATTGGGCATCGAGGTATATGGGCATCTTGGACGCGTTGATCCCCCGTCCAAAGAGCACATAATCCGACTGTTGTAGATTTGTTAATGTCCCTTCTGTTGCATATAGATTGTTTTTAATCTCGCCGCATATTCTAACATCTCGCTTGTCCCATTTTAGCTCTCAAGCCTTGTTTTTAGTCGATTCAAGCCTATAATTAAAGGCGTTGTTTTCTGGCTTGTCTACCGACCTAAACGCGTGATCTGCTATACTACAAGTTCTCACCAATCATATAGTCAACTCCGTTACACCAATGAACTGGTCACCGCCCACCCCGCCCCCCCCCCCCCA